GTCCCAGCACTTGGGAGGTAGAGGCAGGCAGATCTTTGTGAGTTTGAGGCCAGCCCTCGGTCTACATTGAGTTCCAGGACAGCTGGGGCTACAAGGAGGCCCTGACTCAAAAAAAAAAAGTGTGAGGTAGGGCAATCAGATGGCAAGAGGCAGGTGAATCTATATCTATGTGTGATAAAGGCCAGCTTGGTCTACATAAGTGAGTTCCAGGCCTGCTGTGGCTACAGGGAGAACCCTGTCTTAAAAAAATAAAAAGTGTATACTATGGCTTAGGTGATGAGTCAGCTGTCAGGTATAGGTGTGAGATTAGTGAGGTCTGGGCCATACTAGGAGTAACAAAAATGTGTATGAACCAAGTGGGGTTTCATGAGCTTATTTAAATGGAAAAAATGCAGCTGAGGCCAGAAGATTCCTTTATTTCAGCACACAGCATCAAGATTCTGATGCCAGGGGCTGAAGACCTGGGTTCAGTTCCCAGCACCTATATGGCGGCTAACAACCTTCCATAACTCCAGTTCCAGGGGCCCGGTGCCCTCTTCTGATCTCCGTGGGCATTGAACGACATGGGTGCACTTACATACATGCAGGCAAAACATTCACATGAAATACAAATAAAAATTTAAAAGATCCTGATTCCTCTTTATCCCCCATCTTGGCTAACAGTTCCTAGATATGGATCTGCCTTTAAACAGGCGTCCCAGGTGGGTAGGGATGACCAAGTTTTGGGTGACTCTGAGTTTTCAGACTCACGGTGAATGGTGTCAGAAGTAGGGATATGAAAGAAAACAGGCCTGTAATCTCAGCTCCTGGGAAGGCTGAAGTAAGGAGAATCACAATTTCAAGGCAACTTGGGCAATTTAGTGGGGGCCCTTTCTCAAAACAAAAAGCAAGGGGCCAAGTGAAATGGTTCAGTGGGTAAAGGTGATGCTGCATAAGGCCTGATGACCGAAGTTCAATCCCCAGCACCCACATAAAGGTAGAAGGAGAGAACCAGCTTCACAAAATTGTCTGATTTCTACATGCATGCTGTGGTATATGTCAGTTCACACACACACAATAATAGAACAACTCTGTCATGCACCAGAGGGGAATGAACATAAAGGGCCACAAATGGCCAAAGCATAGAGAATAAGAATCTGCAAAGTGTGGGTCCTTGGACAGGACTCCTGTATTAAACTCCACCTACCCAGGGCTCAAGGACTATTGAGAAAGGGGGTGGAAATATGGTAGGAGATGGGAGACCATACATGACCATTTGGACCTGGGATCCTTCCTGCTCATATGAACCTACTGCAATGTGTTAGCATGAATGAGAGGCATGCAAACTCAAGCAGACAAAAACCCAGCATAGAACTGGGGAAGTGGGCAGCAGGTCCCAACCTTAGCGGAATTATTGGCAGCTGATCACTGCTGGGTGGGGAAGAAATGATCATCTTTAAGGGAGTGACTCTAGATAGGCTGACTAGACCCCAGTGCATAAACTTGTACTGAGGAATTTCTGTGTACACTAACTTGACTACAATGGGCCTTAATGTAAATGACAAAACGTAATGAAATCCAGTGTGGGGGGCTATGAGAAGGTTACGCTGGGGAAAGGGGGTATAAAGATGATTAAGATGTGTATGGGGTCTGGAGAGATGGCTCAAGCGGTTAAGAACACTGGTTGTTCTTGCAGAAGACCCTGGTTCGAATCCCAGCACCCACATGGCAGCTAACAACTATCCATAACTCCAGGGGATCCGACAGTCTCTTCTGACCTCCGCGGGCACTGCACGACACGGGTGCACTTACATACTTGCAAGTAATACACGCATACACAAAATAAAAATAAAAACGGCAAGAGAATTCAGCTGAAAAGCACACGATAGTCGCTCAGTCAAGGCAAGCTAAAGGGCAGAACGACAGCTGGGGACCACCCAGGCCGACAACCGTGTTTCAGGTGTCTACCCTCGCCTCAACCTGAAAGTTGCAGTTTGGAGCACGGAGAACACTTCATGAGCACCGTGTAGGGGCGAGGTGCCGTGTAAGCTCGCGACATGGCGACCAGGCGGCGCTCCCTTTTGTGTATTTGGCGCCTTCGATGTAACTCCGCACCGAGCGGCCGGCTGTGACTGTGACCAGGCAGTGCTAACTGGATTACGGAACCAGAATCCTGAAACAAGCGCGGTCACTGTATGCCCGAGTGGGAGTCCAGGCTGGGGATGCGCGAGCCGGGGGCTGGATGGAGCCGCGAGCCGGGGCACTCTCCATCTCTCCTCTCAGCCCGGATGAGGATAACCGATCCAGCATCCCGCAGGGGACAAAGCTATTGGTGAACAACTGCCTGGCCGTGGCTGGCCACTGGCCCACCTCACCGCGCAGATAAGCCTCTGGGAGAAACTCGGCCTGCTTTGGTCAACCTCCCACAACTGTGCAGTTGCGCATGCGCCTATCTGCTAGGCTCTCGGCTGCGAGGGCCTGGCTTCATTTTCTCAAGGCACGCGTGAGCGCCCCCTGCTGGACATTTGGGGCACTAAGAAGACGCAGCTTCTGTTGTCTGGACTTGGCAGAGCGCTGGGGTCCCAGAGTGGACAGGAGGGCGAGGGCTGTGGGAGCACGGAAGGAACTAGGAGGTGGGCAGTAAGGCTGCACAGGAGCGCAAAGAGTGGTTGTGTGTGGGGAAGTAGAGAGGAGAGCAGGTCGTTTGGGGAGTGAATAAGGTGGAGTCGAAGTTCTGTTGGCCCCCGAGTGGACCATGGTGCCCACGAAGAGGCCGTTCTGTGTTGGTGATGGGTGGAGGAACAGTACCGGACCAGGGCGTTTGCCAAGGGTCTCTGATCACAGACTGGGAAGTTCTGTGGTGGGACCTGGACCAGGGGATAGATGAATGAGGAGCTGACGAGGAGGAAGAGTTCCTAAGGGGCCATTGGTATCCTGGGGAGACTAGGGCACATGGAGCATGGCCTGGTACATGCACAGGACGTAGGGTGCTGCTAGGTTTTTCGTCCACGGCAACTGTGCCCAACCTCTAAACGGGAGAATCTGCAGGTTACGCTAGACCTGGAAGTGAACCTGACTGGCACTCCTGGCTTTGCCTTTTTCGTTTCGTTTTTGGTTTTGGTCTTTTTGAGACAGGGCCTCCTTAGAGCCCCAGCTAGCCTGAAACTATATAGACCAGGCTGGCCTTGAACTCACAGAGATCCACCTGCCTCTGCCTCCCTAGTGCTGGGGGAAAAGGTGTGTGCCACCAGGCCCAGCTAGCTTTACCTTTTTCAAATCTGCACAATAGGCGCCTTGACAGGAGCCCCCTTCCTCTGCCTGAGATGGGAATCACTGAGCAGACATTTCCCAAGTCCTCTTCTTTCCCGTCAGTCCCCCTTTCATCCAGAAGACTCCAAAGTGTGAGCATTATGACACCCATTTTATGTTTTATTGTTTCATGTGTATGTATGCATGTGGGGGTTGCATGCACACGTGTGTGCCAAGGCCAGAGGTTGACATTGGGTGTCTTCCTCTATCACTGATTTTTTAGTTAGTTTATTTTTATGTGTAAGAGTGTTTTACCCCCATGTATGTAAGTGAACCACATGGGTGGGCTATGGATCCCCTGGAACTGGAGTTACAGACAGTTGTTAGCCACCATGTGGGTGCTGGGATTCAAACCCCCAGTCTTCTGCAAGAGCAGTCAGTGCTCCTAACCACTGAACCATCCCTCCAGCCTCTACTCTTTTTTTTTTTTTTTTTTTTTTTTTTGAGACAGGGTCTCCTTGTAGCCCCAGCTGTCCTGGAACTCTATGTAGATCCACCTGCCTCTGCCTCCCGAATGCTGGGGTTAAAGGCGTGCACCACCACACCCAGCTACTCTTTTTCTATACTTAATAAACTCATTCATTCAAACTGAAAGTATGTCTCTTCTAAATCCGGACTGTATAAAGCTGTGAGGTGGGATAAGGATAGGAGGGCTGTGAACGAGGCATGGAGCCTAGAAGACCCCACCCAGGCAGTGACTGGTGTCTTGACTGCAGATACCAGGAAAAAGGTAACTGAGTAGATTCAGGAGACAAGAGGGTGGTGAATGGGACCAAGGTGGATTGTGACCAGGGAGGTGGGGTTTTCTTCTCTGGATGTCTGTGTTCCCCAAAAGGTCTTAAAGAGTGTGGCCCTGGAAATAGATGGGGTGGTTCATCTTGGAGACTTGTATGCTAATAGGACAAAAGGGTGAGTGTGTTTGTGTATACACTTGCCCGTGGAGGCCTGAAACTGACACTGGGATGTCTCTCTTCAGTCACTTCACTTTGAGATTAGGTCTCACTGAACCTGGAACTCGCCTGTTTTGGCTAGACTGGTTAGCCAGGCCATAGGATCTGCCTGTCTCAGCCTTCCAGTGCTGGGGCTGTAGACATAGGCCACTGTGTCCAGTTTTTATGTGGGTGCTAGGGATCTAACTTAGGTTTGCATGTTTGTACAGCAAACACTTTACCTAGTATGCCATCTCCCAGACTCCAAGAACAGGTTTCTTCATCCAGAGTTCCAGGGAGCCACTAAGGGCACTGGGGAGAAAAACTGCTCCCAGTGGTTTTATTCACACTGGGGAGTTGCCTGAGTCATGGCTAGAAAAAAGCAGAAGAGAGCCAGAGGAAGGGAGAGAGCAGCCTCAACGTGGTGGCTGAACAACCTGTCCTACACCCAGGAGCTCGGCCAGCCAGGCTATGGACTGAACAGAGAAGCAAAGCACTATATTTTCTTCTTTTGTAGCAGGGTCTCGTGTGTTTCAGGCTGGCCTCAAACTGACTACGCAGCCAATAAACTGATCCTCCTGCTTCTATCTCCTGAGTGCTGGGACTGTGGCTGTGTACCACAATGTTGGGTTTATGTGGTGCTGGGGATGGAATATGCTAAGCAAGCACTGTACTGAGCCATGTCCCTCAGCCCTGTTTTCAAACAGGGACCCCAATCTGCCTTCTCACAGTGGGGTATAGGAGGACCAAGATGGGAAGGGAGCCTAGGTTCTCCAGAGCTGGGTCAGGAGAACCAGCAACAGAGATAGGTCCACTGAACGGCAGGAAGGATAAAGATAAGGGTTCAGTCTCCATAGCGCCTCAGACATGGTTTCCTAAGGTTTCCACTGGCCTCAGGATGAGGGGGTTCTAATGCAGGCAGCGTAGAACTTTCTTAGATCTAGCCTTCCAGCCTGCCCTCCTGACTATACTGTTCTTTTAAAGATTTTTTTTTTTTTTTTTGAGACAGGGTCTTGCTACGTAGCCTAGACTATCCTTGAACTTACGGTGTCTTCCTAGCTCTGCATCCCAATGGATATGCCACCATCCCTGGCTTGGGCTTTTTTTCTAATTCTTTTTCTTTTCTTTTTTTTCTTTGAGATAGTGGCTCACTATGTAGCCCTAGCTGACCTAGAATTTTCTAGAATGGCTGACCTAGAATATGGACCAGGTTGGCCTAAAACACACAGACCTGTATGCCTCTGCCTCCCTGAGTGCTAAGATTAAAGGTGTGTCATTAAGCCCAGTTTAGGGCTTTAAAAAAAAATTGTGTATAGAGGTCAGAGGACAACTTCTGAGAGTTGGTTCTGTCTTCCAACCCCACTGTGAATTCTGGAGATCAAACTCAGGTCATCAGGGTTGTGTGAGCAAGCACTTTTACTTGCTGAGCCATCTAGACTCAGGAGCTTTTTAAATAAAGGAAAAAAGGGGCTGGAGAGATGGCTCAGTGGTTAAGGGCACTGGCTGCTCTTGCAGAGGACCCAGATTCAGTTCCCAGCACTCACATGGTGGCTATGAACCATCCTTAACTCCAGTTCCAGATGATCCAATACCCTCTTCTAGCCTCTATGGGCACGTGGTATGCTTACATACCTGCAGGCAAAACACTCATACACACAAAATAAAGGAAAAAAGAAAACCTTGGAAAATTCCATCCTATCTGGTTTCTGAAAATTGTGGGACAGGCGTTTGGGGACACACACTGTCCCACTTACAGCAGGCAAAGGTGGCAATCAACTGGAGACCTAGTTTCCAGGGCTGAGGTGCTAGAGTAGATGTTGACTGGGACACTGTTCCCCTTCCCAGGGTATGAGTGCCCCTGGGCCACAAGGCTACAGCCTATTGGTATCTGTGGGGCAAGGGACCCAGACACTGCACAGGCTGGCTCATTGTGCCTTCTTTATTGTATCCCCCTCTTCAAATTACAAAACCGTGTCCCCTCCCACCCAGCCCAACACGGTGGGTTCAAAGATGTGAGGAAACGGGAAGGTCCCCGTCTGGCTGTGGTGACACCTTAGGTGCAAGCAGAGTTGGGTCTGCGTGGGGTACAGGAGGGGGTGGCTGAGCCTCCATCTCACCCCTTGCCTCTGGCTCTCCTGAGCATTCCTCAGCCTTACCCGCTGCCTGGGTGTTGGCATGCAGGGACCCAGGCACCAGGGCTGCGGGGGCGCCGGGGCGGTGGTCCTGTAGGTGTAGTGTCATGGCGGGCCTCGAGGCCGTGGTGAAGTCACACTGCATGCAGGAATAGCGGCCCCGTGTGTGCTCCCACACAATGCGGCTCAGGGCTGCATACCCTGCAGGCAGGCAGGACCCAGTCAGTCCCAGACCTCACCCCAGGGCATCTGTCCACCAAGGGTAGTGGATTCGGGCCAGGGTGGTTAGACCTTTCCCTGCTTCCCCATTAGCTCTCAGGGTCCAGGCAGACTGGATGGTTTTTCCTGGGCGTTTTCCCTTGTCATTTGGCTGCTCCCATCCCCTGACACTACAGGAGAGAAGTGCGACTCAGAGATGGACAAAGCACGAGTCTTACACAAGAACGCCGGCGCAGATGAAGGCATAGGTGCCAGTAACTTTAAAGGTAAAAATCATGTATTTTAAGGGGCAGACACTGCTGCTTCTCAGCATTCACAGGGCACAGGAATGAAAGCCCCGCCTCCCTGCCCAGATGGTCACCTGCACGCACCTGAGGGCGCATCCGAGCCGCCCTGTGGTCTTCTGGGACTGCCACCAGCACCTGCAGGAAATAGGCAGGTCAAGCTCAGGCCAGATGAGCCCAGCCAGCCCTGCAGGTGGCCCTGCCCCCATACTCACCTTGACTCTTTTTCCAGATGGCTGTGCTGGACGCTGGCGGCCCAGGAGCAGCAGCCAGGAAGGGGCGCAGGCGTGAGGGGCTTAGGCCAAAGGGCGCAGGGTTTAAGTAGGGAAGGTAGGACCCAGTGGGGGCAGAGGTGAAGGGTTCGAGCAGCGGGAACCGCAGACCAGTGGCCGACGACAGGTCGGACTCTGGGGGGCGTTCGGGTTCCTTGTCCAGGGCAGGAGGTGGCGGAGCTGGGCTCTGAGCATGCTCTGCACAAACATGCAGATGCTTGAAGAGCGAACGGTGAGTGCGGAAACGCAGGAGGCAATTCTCACACCTGGGGGTGGGTACAAGGCTGGACTGTTTCTTGGGCAGGAGGAAGAGGCCTATTCTTTGCTACCTGGGAAACAAGCTACCTAGGTGAAACCTGAGGGAAAGGACCTTACCCTCATGCCCTCCCCTGTTGTAGTCACAATCCTCTCCAGTTCCAGAGACTTAAGCTTCCATTTTAACTGTGGTGACCAGTTTTCCACATAAGTGAGGCGGAACTGGGCAGAATTTCACCAGTTAGTATACCCTTCACCTAGTATACCCTGTCCCTTGAAGCTGAGCCCTTGGTCCTAGTGACTTGTTCCTAACTCACATCAGTCTTCCATGTATGATTGAGCCATGCCTACATCCCTGACCCTTTACACACACTAGGAAGGGATAAGGGTCTGGATTCCATTGTCAGGATGGTCAGAGTCTCACTTGAAATAGCGATTGGGCTTGTAATGCAGCTTCCCGTGGGCCACCAGTTCCTGCATGCTGGGGAAACTCTCCGTGCAGCTCAGGGCGGAGCAGTGGAAGAGCTTGCCTGGCAGAGTTGGAAAGACCGGTATAGAGAAGGGTAGCTAAGGCTGGCCCTGAGGGCTCTGCCTGCCTCCCACCGTGACTTGCCTCCCTATCACCAAACCGGGCCCTACCTTCCAGTGACTGTGTGGGCGGGCAGTGGGTACGGAGATGCTGTGCCAGGTCACGAACACTGGGGAAACTGAGGCAGCAGCCGGGGCTAGAGCAGGGTATCTGTTTCCCTGTAGGATAAATGGGTGTCAATCAATCTTTTTCCTTTCTTTCTTTTTGAGACAGGGTCTCCCTATAGCCCCAGCTGTCCTAGAACTCCCTATGTAGACCAGACTGGCCTTGAACTCACAGAGATCTGCCTGCCTCTGCCTCCCGAGTGCTGGGATTAAAGGCGCTCACCATCACACCTGGCTCCATCAATCTCTTTACTGAACGCCTCACCCTCCTACCCTCCAACAAACTGAGCTGCCTGGAAATAAGGGCTGGATTGGCCTGTTTCATCTTTGGAGCCACACTTGACATATACATGGTGCTCAATAAATGGTGAAGAATCTCCCTAGATGGGCTCCCAGCCTGGAGATACAGGTGCTTCTTTATCCTATATTTTCTATCTCAGTCCTACTGTAGGATCTGTTATTTCCTCAAAAGGCCCCATCACAGATTACCTGGTGGTGGGCGTCGCCTGGGCAGCCGTAGGTCGTCACTGGTCCCTGAGCCTGTGCTGGTTGAGCCAGGACTAGGTCTAGAGCCAAGCTGGCAGCTCTCTGGGGCTGGAGAAGCAGCCTGCTGGGGAGGTCCTCCCCGATCCCACACTAGTGGTGTGGCTGTCTGGTCAGCACCTGGCTCCTCCTCCATGGAGGAGAAAGTGGCTGTAGCAGCCACATCTGGAGACACCATCTTCTCAGTCTCATTGGAGCTGGGCTCTGCAGTGGCCAGCATGTTTGGGCTGGGCTTGGACAGTTCCTCCTAGTGGAGAAGGTAGGAGATCTGAGTTCAGTTTACCTGGGGCAGAGAGAAATTCTCCCGTGCCAAAGGACCACCAGACTCAAGATATCTGACTCCCCCCCGCCCCACCCCCAACCCCACCCGCGCCTGACACCACCAGACCATGCCACTTTCTGAATCCCAGCAAGATGGGGTAAGGGAGGTAAGTCTGGATGGTGCTACTGTCCCCTAAGTTCCCCAAAGCAGGAGTTATCCTTCAGGGATTACATACAAGCTGCATCACTTCAACTTTGGCAGGAGAAAGGCGCCATCCAGGGAGGGGGCGTGGCCTAGGGAGTGGGCGGGGCTCTGGGTAGGGAGCAACTAGGGAGCTGCTGGAGGGCCCAAAGTGGACTGTGGGTGAAGGGGAATGTACTGGCCGAGATAGGGCTGCGTGTGAAGACAACTTGAAGCTCCAGTCCAGGTGAGGTTTAGGGGCGGAACTCGAGCCCTGTGGGCGGAACCCTGCTAAGGCCAGGCCCAGAAGGAGGGACAAGAGGCTCCCTGAAAGACAGAGGCGGGCGGTACCCGGATGTGGGGGCGGGGTCGGCCCGAGGGTGTGAGCTACGGCAGGGCCGCTCCCCGTCCATCCCCGCTGCTCCTCCGCACCCGCGTGCCTGGCGCCGCGCTCACCATCCTCCGGTCAGCTCGACCTTTTGTTCTCGCGGCTCCGGTGCCTCCGGCTCCTGCAGCGGCAACTTCCTCGGCGATGCGAGCTAGCGCTCACGTCAGCGCCATTTCTTACGCGTCTCAGATCTCGCGAGATTAGGGGCGTGGTCTACTTCTGGGCGTTTTACTAGTAGGTGGAGTCTGGGACTCCTGGCCCTCCTAGACCCTTCCAGAAGTTTACCAGTGTGCGAACTTGTACACCAAATGCAAAAGCAGAGTGCAAAGATCCAACATGAAAAGCCCCACCCCCCCCCCCCCGAGGCCTCAGTGGCCTTGTATGCAAAATAGGCGCCTCCATCCCTTCGCTGTAGTACGTCCCATCGCTAGCTGTGGAACGACAATAAACAGCAATTTTCATTCTGTTTTATTCTTTTTTTGTATCCCAGGCTAACCTCGAATTCACAATCCTGCTTCAGCCTCCCAACATGACAGGTATCTGTCACCAGGCTGCCTGCTTTTGATTGGGTTTCCTTTTTCTTTTTGTAGGGAATTGACAACGTGTACACACCACACACACACACACACACACACACACACACACACACACACATACATTGCTTAGAGGCTCGCCTCTAAGCAGAGGTTTACCTTAAACTTTGATGCCACCACTCATGGTTTTAGGTGGTACTTGATAGATAAAGTAGCCCATGGATGAATCCGGTTGATCTGGAGAAAGCACCAGGACAGGGATAAAATGCCATTGGAATAGAGTTTATTAGCAAAGGAACACATGGGAAGGGGAAATGTCTATCTCAGGTCCTGAGCTAGGGGCCTTTTAAAGGGGGAGGCTTCTGGGGGGGATGCAGGAGGTAGGAAGATATATATTTCTTTTCAAGTTGGGGGGGGGAAGCACTGTTACAACCTGCCCTCTTTAGAGATCAAAGGGGGAAGCCTGCTGTGTCGACCAAACAGTGGAGGAGAAGAGTCTGCTTCTCTTGTATTCAAAGACCAGGGTGCTTAGCAACTCAGTTCCCTTTTCTCAGGGGCTTGTGAGGCCCTGTTGGTGAGGGGGCAGGGCTATCTGAACCTTAACAGTACTGGGGATCAAACCTGATAGGGTGAAAGTAGCCAGAGAATGGATAGAGTTGATGGGGGCGGGGAGCACCAAGACACAGGTAAAACTAAGTGGGGTGGGCGGGGCGTGGTGGTGCATGCCTTTCAATCCCAGGACTCGGGAGGCAGAGGCAGGAGGATCTCTGTGAGTTCAAGGCCAGCCTGGTCTACATAGTGAGTTCCAGGACAGCAGGGGCTACTGGGAGACCCTGTCTCAAAAAGACCAAAAACAAACAAACAAACAAAAACCCTTAGTGGAATAGAGTTTTGGTTTTTGGAAAACATGGGGCGGGGAGCGGGGCTTGTAAACCCAGCTCCGTTCCCTCTGCCAGCCGGGATCTGGGTCAGGAAGTGTTTATTTTTTGTCCTTTTAAGATAAGGGAAAAACTGCTATACTAAAGCGGCTCCTGAAGTCTCTGGTTAACAGGTGGAATCTGTTTATCTTGTCTTCCGAGATCAAAGGAAAGGCAGGTTGCCTTTTTAAAGAGTCTGCTTCCCTTGACTTCAAAGACCAGGGTGCTTATCAACGTGGTTCCCTTTTCTCAGAAGCTTGCGAAGTCCTTGAGACCCTGTTGGAGACAGGGAGGGCTGCTGTGGTTTAAACCCTTATAAAACCCAGGTCTTTGTTTATGCAAACACTACCAATTGAACTACATCTTTAGCCATATATGCCTAGATAGGTAGATAGATACATATGTGGTGTGCATGCGTGTTCAAATGTGTGTGCATACACGTGTGTGCAGGTGTATGTGCACGCATGAATGCATATGTGTGCTTGTGCCCGGAGGTCTGAAATCAACATTAGGCATCTCCCTAGATCCCGCTCCACTTTATTTACTAAGTCAGGTCTCTCACGGAACTGGGAGGTCACCAATACCACTAGTCTAGCTAGCAAACTTGCCCAAGGATATTCCTCTCCACTTCCCAAGTGCTGGGATTACAGGTGGCTGATATGCTTACCCAGTGTGTGCTGGGGATCTGAACTCTGGTCCTCATGCTTTATCCACTGAGGCACCTCCTCAACCACAGCCCCATATCTTTCACTGCACCCAGTTGTATAGCTACAATGGGTGATTGTGGGTCTTCAGGTTTCATGAATGGGTGATTCCTGCAGGTGGAGGGAAATGAATGTGAAGCCCTGAGTCCACTGGTATAGACAGGTATCTAGCCCATCCTACATTTGGTGACTACATTCTGTACCAGAAGGCAATCTGTTTCTGCCCTCAGGGACTCCAGTCACCTCTGGAAATGGAGAGCCACAATAACTCAGCAACAGTAGGAAAACCTTATTGGATCTTTCCAAGGGATAGAAAGGGATGTGAAAATGATGAGTCACGGAAGCTGTCTGAAGAGGTAGCTTTTGAGCTGTGGCTTCATGATTGAAGTGACAGTGAATAGAAGGTCAGGGAAGCGGGGCAGACTAGGAAGCTGACACAGATGTCCTGCACCAGGGAGGGACAAGCTTGTCTTTGCCAAGCAAATGTTAACCACCATGTAGGTGCTGGGAACTGAACCCTGGCCCTCTGCAAAAGCAGCCAGTGCTTTTGGAGCCAAATAGGAGTAACCATAGGATCACCTTTCCAGGCCCCTTTGTCAAGCAAATATAAGGAGTCCTCTGAACCAGTGAGTCAGAAGGAGGACAGGATGTGGATGTTACAGGATGGGTCCTACAGAGCCTTGTGAAAAAAATGGAGGAAAAAAACTGGTTTCTGGTGAAGTCACTGAACGTATTTATTTGTTTTTATTTTTCCATTTTCTGGTTTTTTTGGGGGGGGCATCTTCATGTGTATGGGGGAGGTGCTTGTGCATATAGGTGTGTATGCATGCAGTGCTGACACAAAAACATACTCTCATCTCAAAGATGGTAAGAGATAGTTTACTCTGGAGCCAAATAGGAGTGACCATGGTCCTGGAACACAGATTCAGGTTATCCACAAATTCCATGTTTCAGCATAGAAGCAGTTTCATGAAATTTTTAATAGTAACAGAACAAAGAAAAGTCATAAATCAAGACACTTTTCAAATACATTGGTAGAAACATTAAGTAGGCAGATACAGCAAAAGAAAATTCTCAGCTATAGGGTCAGATGTCATCTGGTGGCATTCTTAGCCTCTTGGTTGGTGGGAGCTAGGGCTCTGTTAAATTAATACATTACTAAAAGTTTTTTATCTGTTAGTCACAAGATGTTCAGAAACAGAGGTGGGCAAGGAGTGGCTATTTAGGGGCTAAAGATGGTCCAAGATAAATTGTAAATAGGCTCTGGATCTGCAACATTCCTAACAGTCCACAGTCATTGAAGTGCAAATTAGTCAGCCTTGCAGGGCGTTTAGTTCAAGATGCAGGATTTTTCTGGGATTTTTCTTAAGTTTATCTGGGGAACCATCCTTGATGGTGCTTCCACCTTATTCCTTGAGGCAGGGTCTCGAAATCAAACACAGAGCTCCCTAGTGTAACTAGTCTTGCTAGCTAGTTCGCTCTGGGGATCCTGTCTCTGCCTTCCCAGGCTCTAAGCTTCCACATTCACCTGGCATTTACTTGTTATCTGGGAATCTGAACTTAGGTCCTCACTTTTGTATGGTAGGTGCCTTAACCACTGAGCCATCTCCCCAGCCTCACTGATCAGTTTTTAGTAAGGGAAGACATAGTATCTGCTCCCTGGTGTGTGGGTGTTATTAAGTACACCAACAGTACAAATACCCTGAACAAAATAAAAGCTCAGCTCTAAACCAGGCGTGGTGCCGCATGCCTGTAGTCCCAGCACTTGGGAGGCAGAGGCAGGTGGATCTCTGTGAGTTCAAGGCCAGCCTGGTCTACATAGTGAGCTCCAGGCCAGCTGGGGCTACAGAGAAACCCTGTTTCAAAAAGACCAAATAAATAAATAAATAAATAAATAAATAAATAAATAAAGCTCAGCTCTTAGGTTTTTAAGAGAGGGTCTGAACCCAGAGGATACCTGGTTCCCCAGATATCAGAATTGTGTGGATGGGCCAGGCCACACTCACATTTTTACTCCACCCAGTTTCTCCAATCTCATTGAGTAAGTACAGGGTCTGTTCTCTATAGACCATCATTGTTTTCATCCCAGTTCACATTATTCCAGGGTCGCTTGTTTCCCAATCTCCATGTGTCCAGTGGAGATGGGCGTGGTGCACAGCTTGTAGCACTTTGGTATGCTAACTTTCAATCATACCCACATTCATCCATTTTGGGGGGAGGAGTACCAAATTGAAGTTGTCAAGGAAACAAGATCAGATGCCAAGATCACAAGGCACAAGAGCACATGGTTTTGTTGGTTAATTAAAAGTCATTAGTCCAGATTATGTCCATTAATGAAAAATATTCACACATTGGTGATCGTTTGGAGGATGGAGTTTTTGGGAGGATGGTAAAATAGACCTTAGATTGCAGATATGTATATTACTCAACCATTCAAGAAATGTTTGTTGAGTCAGGCAACTGTGACTTTATGTGCAACATGTTTTTGGGCAAAATAAGATATGCTTTCTTATGCAGAAAAGATGGTTAGAGGACATCTAAAAACTTTAGGAAGAGGGGCTGGGTATGAAACTCAGTTGGTGGCTCTTAATTACCATTTATTCAGTTAAAAACTATTTTTTTAATTTGTTTGTTTGAGACAGGGGATACCAGGTTAGCCTTGAACTCAGAGTCCTCTTGTGTGCTGGGATTACGGGTGTGTGCCACCATATTTAAGTTTTTTCTTTTGAGACAGAGTCTCATGTAGCTCAGGATAGCTTCAAACTTATATAGCTGAGGATAACGTTGAACTTTTGATTCTCTTGCCTACACCTCCAGAGTGCTGGGATTATAGGCATATACCACCACATACGTTGTATGTGATGCTGGGAATTAACTTAGAGTTTGGGGGGGTTGTTTGTTTGTTTGTCTTTTTTGAGACAGGGTCTCCCTTGTAGCCTCAGCTGGCCTGGAATTCACTATGCTATGTAGACCAGGCTGGCTGGCCTCGAACTCATAGAGATCTGCCCACCTCTGCCTCTCGAGTACTACGTTTAAGGTGTGCACCACCATGCCCGGCTTAATTTAGAGCTTTGTGCATGCTAGGCAAGGATTCTACCAACTGAGGTACAACCCCAGCCCCTTAAGGTCATTTGAACACAGGGTAGAGAGGTGTGTTTGTGCTAGGGAAGACTGGGGAAGGATGGGGTGGCATGTGGCCTCAGAAAGAACAGGGCAGCAAGGAAGGATGAGGAGGGACCAGAGTTAAGAACTGTTGTGAAAGAGCCCACAGGATGTGAGGCTGAGGACTGGGTGGAGTTGAGGTGGCTGAGGTTCATAGTTTGAAGAGGTCTCTAACCTAGATATGCATAGTTTCTCTTAGAGTACATCAAACTTGTTCCCTTTTCCAACCCCAGCACCCTGCCCAGTACTTTTCCAGAAATTCTGCCCAGGAGCCTTACTTCCTGCAAATGGAGTATTCTCCTTGTCAATGGGGTGAGGCCGTGGGGATATTCCCCAAACTGCTGGGAAAGGAAGACAACCTGCCTGTTGAGTTTGACAGCAGAGGACGGAAGCCCCATTTCCCCTTCCCCCCTCCCTTCCTCTTTTCCCCGTCTTCCCTTCGTTTGTGTAGATCAAGCTGGCCTTGAATTTGCTTAGTAGTTAAGGATAACCTTGTTAACCTTCATTCTCCGGTTTTCACTTCCAGTGCTGGGGCCACAGGTGTGAGCCACCACACCGTGTATACAGTGCTGGCATGGAACCTGGTACTTCCTGCACACTAAGCAAGCACTCTCTAAGTGAGCTATAGCCCTCACCCTTGTTTTTCCTCCCCTCCCCTCCCCTCCCCTCCCCTTCTTCTCCCTCCTGTCCTTCTGCTGGGGTGGGAATCCAGGGCTTCATACCAACCAAACTACATCCTCAGCCCTTTTTTCTTTTTTTAATCTTTTAAAACATTTTTATTTATTTAATTTTTAAATTATATTTATTTATTTGTGTGTGTGTGTGTGTGTGTGTGTGTGTGTATGTGTGTGTGTTTTCAAAGGCCAGCTTGCTTCTTCTCCCTCCTGTCCTTCTGCTGGGGTGGGAATCCAGGGCTTCATACCAACCAAACTACATCCTCAGCCCTTTTTTCTTTTTTTAATCTTTTAAAACATTTTTATTTATTTAATTTTTAAATTATATTTATTTATTTGTGTGTGTGTGTGTGTGTGTGTGTGTGTGTATGTGTGTGTGTTTTCAAAGGCCAGCTTGTGGGAGTCAGCTCTCTCCTTCCATCGTATGGCTCCCAGGGACAGAATCAGGTCATTAGACCTGGTAGAAAGCACCTCTACCAACTGAACCATTTTATTTATCTATTATTATTGTGTGTATGTGTGCATGCATTATGTAAGGGGGCATGTGTGCCATGGCACATGTGTGAAAGTCAGAGGACAACTCTGTGGTGTCAGTTCTTAACTTCCACTTTTACATGGTTTCTGGGGATGGAACTCAGGTTGTCAGGGTTCAACAGCAAGTGTCTTTACCTGCTGAGCAATTGTGCTGTCCCTCTTTTTTTAAAAAAAAAAAAATTGTATTTTTTATATTTTTAGTGCTGAGGACTGAACCCTATGCTAGACAAATGCTCTACTACTGAGTTATTTGCCCATCACACCCGAGTCTTGCAGGGAGAAACAGGATAGTTGCATAGAGAGATAGAGTGGTACAATGGCTTTTGCGAAATGACTGACATATAAGAGGCCTGGTGAGATCCAGTTGCATCCTTACAAAATTTTTTACAGCCAAGCTTGGCTTTCTGAGGTATATGCAGAGAGGAAAAGGAAAAGATCCAGGTGGGCTTTGCTGGGCAGTCTTTTTTTTCTTTTTTCCCTCAAGAATGTCACTGGACGTGGTAGTGCATGCCTTTAATCCCAGCACTCAGAGGCAGGAGGATCTCTGTGAGATAAGGGTCACCCTGGTCTACATAGTGAGTTCCTGGCCAGCTGGGGCTACAGGGAGACCCTATCTCAAAAAAAAAATGAAGAAAAAAATGGATCTCATATAGCCCGAGCTGTCCTCAAAATCAGGGGCTACTGAGATGGCTTAGTGGGTAAAGGTGCTTGATGCCAAGACTGACAGCCTTTGATCTTGGGGACCCACATGCTGTAAGGAGAAAACTGATTCTTAAAAGTTGTTCTCTGACCTCCACACACCATGTTACACACACACACACACACACATACACACACTCATGCACATGCACACACATAATTTTTAAAAATACTTTATTTTTATTTTATGTATATGAGTGAGTGTATTGCCTACATATTTGTAAATGCACCTGTGTTGTGCATTGCCCACAGAAGTCAGAAGAAGGTGTTGGATTCCCCTGGAACTGGAGTTATAAATGGTTGTTAGCTGCCATGTGGGTGCTGGGAATTGAACCAGGGTCCTCTGCAAGAGCAGTCGGTGCCCTTAACGCTGAGCCATCTCTCCAGTCCCTGCACATGTAATTTTTTAAAATCTTCTAGGTAGTCAGTATGGCCTTGAACTTTTGATCCTGCCTCTGTCTTCTGAGTGCTGGAATGACAGCATGCACCACCACACCCAGTTGATGGGGTGCTGAGGATGGAACCCAGGATGTCATGTATGCTAGGCAAGCGTGCATCACTGAGCCACATTCCTAGTCCTCCTTAACAGTCTTTCTTGGCTTCCTGACCCCTCGTTCTGCAGTGGGGTAGGTGTCTCCTGCCTGAATGTCCTTGTCACAGCTTTGATCATTATGTACTATTTACAGCTCTGCTGAGACTGAAGGTCTTTAGGTCTTTATCTTTCCTGGCTTCTTCAGCAACACTCACTACCCTGCTTTGCAACCTTCCTGCGTGCCTCTCAGTCTGTCACTGTCTCTCCCATATTGGCTGGGCACAAAGAAGGTGACCAGAATGTAAATTGTGTGTGTGCATGTTCATGTGTGTGCAGGTGCATATGTGTGGCCTTGATGTGACAGAGATCCATCTGCCTCTGCCTCCCAAGTGCTGGGATTGAAAGCGAGCGCCATCACACCTAGCAAGAGAGTCTCTTGTTCATTCCTATGCACGGCAGGGTAGCTGGACGTCGGTTCTCCCATCTCTACCTCCCATCTTGTCATAGAAGTGGGATTACAATGTGCTACTGTGTCTGGCTTTACATCGGTTCTAGGGATTCAACTCAGGTTCTCATGCTTGTGTGGCAAGTGCTTTACTCATAAGCCATCTTCCTAGCCTAGATTTTTTTAAATAGTTTCTTTTTAAAAGAAACAATATTTCATGCATTATGTGTGTGGTGATCAGAGAGCAATGGGAGGAGTTAGTTCTTTCTCTCTACGTTCCTGGACTCTGCTCTTCAGCCTTGGCAGCAAGTGCTTGTACTTGCTGAGCCAGCTCAATGGCTAGTTGTTTTATTTTACTGAGACAGTTTCTCATGCAGCCCAGGCTGGCCCCAAACTTGCTATGTAAGTCAAGGATGACCTTGAACTTCTGATTCTCCTGTTTCCAGTTCCTGAGCTCCAGGATTACAACCATGTGCCACCAAGACGTTTTATTCAGTGCTGGGGATCAAATCCAGGTCCTCATGCTTGAGAGGCCAGCACTCTACCAACTGAGCAACCCCCGAGCCCAACACTCAGTAATTTACTCCCTGCTTTCACCTGGCACATGTTTATTGCCTCAATGATGAGAGAAGGCGGGAAGTCACGTTTGTCAAAGTCCCCTAACCCCCAGACTGTGCCCAGCACTTTGTCCACAGGGCACATGATTCATTTCATACACACAAGGCAGCTGGGAGGTAGGTTCTGCAGTGAATCCGGTTGGACACATGAAAAGGTGGAGACTTGGACAGCAAGTGAAACCTGTGGGAGGCCAGTGCCTGGCAGAGGTGCTACAGTGGTGACCCTGACACCCAGGTCCTCCACTAGGCTGCAGGCCATAGGCCTGGGCATTCTGGCCAGTACAGCCAAGGTAACTGAGGCTCCCACTGGCAGGGACTAGCATCTGGTAGTCAAGCAGGCAGACTGGTGGGAAGACAATCTCAGGCTTCTGGTTCAGATCTTCTCCACATAGTTGCCTGGGAAGAGACCCTCCTGGCCATGCAGCCGGCCCTTCCACCAGCCAGAGGAATCTGTGAGAGAGAAGAGCATGAGATGCCCAGTGCATCCTGCAGAAAGCCGCATGTCCACTGTGTCTGTCTTACTCATCCTGGGTATTTTGTTTGTTTCTTGAGACAGGGTCTCATGTAGCTCTGGCTGGCCTCACAACACTATCTAGGGGACTAGGGAGATGGTTCAGTGGGTAAAGCACTGGCCATGAAAGTGTGAGGACCTGATTTGGATTCCCAGAACTCATGTAAAGCCAGATGTGGCTTTACAGCTGACAGCCTAGCTCCCCTGTGGTGGTGAGATGAGAAGTGGAGATAGGATCTCCGAGGCCAGCTGGCCTGGCATAAGCGGTGGTGAACAACAGACCCTGTTTCAAAGATGGGAGGGGAAGACTTTCACGTGAGTCAAGACCTGCACTAACACACAGGAACATGCACACACACACACACACACACACACACACACACACACACACTTGCTATGTAACTGAGGCTAGCTTCAAACTCTTGAACTCCTTCTTCTAACGCCTGAGGGCTGAGATTACAGATACAGCCATCACTCTCAGCTGTTTTGTTTTGGTGGGACTGGGTCTCAATCCCTATGTAGCCCCAGCCTGTCCTTACACACCTGATCCTCCTTCCTTAGACTCCCAAGTTCTGGGACTATAGGTATGTGCCACCATACATGGCTATCTGCATTTGGGAGGCTGTTGCTTGGGATTGAACCCAAGGCACAATTCCTGTATTACTGAATACTTTACTAAGTCATCTCCCCAGCACCTCACATCCTCCCTTCATCCCTCCATCTCTTCCATCCTTTATCCTGAGGATAGAACCCAGAAGCTCATGCATGCTAGGTAAGCACTTTACCACTGAGCTATACTCTCAGCCCTCTGTCATTTTCTAGACAATTTGCTATCAGATCCCTTCAACCTATCCTACGGAACCCTTCCCCCAACCACCAGGGTGCAGCCAGGAGAGATCAGGTCTCTATGACCTCTAGGAGGGACCTGTATCCACTTGCAGAGTGTGTGATGAGTTTCCATCTCTTCTGTGGGCAGCCAGGGAACTGAGGTAGGAGTTGGGATGGGCCATCCTGGCTCATCATTCCTACTCACAGAGGGTCTGTGAGGTCAGTTATTATTTTAACTAATTAATTATTGACTTATGTGTATAAGTATTTTGCCTGCATGCAAGTACATGAGTCATGCAATGTCCACAGAGATCAGAGGAGGGTGCTAGGTCCCTTTGAATTAGAGTTATAGATGACTATTAACTTCCATGTAGTTTCTGGGAACTGAACCTGGGTCCTCTGCTCTTAACTGCTGAGCTATCTCTCCAGTCCCCTCCTTTGTCTAAAGATTTACTTTTATTTCTCTCTCTCTCTCTCTCTCTCTCTCTCTCTCTCTCTCTTTCTCAGCAGGAACTGGAAGAGTGTGTCAGATCTCCTAGAACTGGAGTTACAGACAGTTGTTAGCTGCCTGACATGGGTGCTGGGAACTGAACTTGGTCCTCTGAAAGAGCAGCAAGCACTTTAACCACTGAACCATCTTTCCAGCCCCTGTGAGGTCAGTTCTTACTATGAGGAAAGTGAGGCTATAGCTGGGTGTGGTGGTGCAAGCCCGTCACCCCTGGCACACAGAAAGCTGATGCTGGGGCATGGTGAGGCAAGGCCATCTTGGGCTATATAGCAAGACCGTGTCAAAATCAAATAGAATCAAAGAGGCTTAGGTACTAGGTGTGATTAAATGAGTCTACAATCCTAGATGGTTTAGAAGGTGGTCATAAGATTCAAGAATAGCCAGTGTATGTAGCATCAGCATGGTATGGAAGAGGGACTCTCTAGTGGGGCTATCAGATGGTTGTCCCTATTCATTAATTTCTCCTTTTTTATTGAATTTTTGTGAATTTCATACAATATATTTTGATTATATTTTGTTCCCTCTCTTATCTGCACTCTCTTACTACCCCCCAATTTCATGTACTCTATTATATATATTCTATATGCGCATCTATATTTCTGTCTCCCAAGGCTCAGAGATCATTGCAGAAGAGAGGGCAGAAGCTGGGAGTGGTGGCGCACACCTTTAATCCCAACACTTGGGAGGCAGAGGCAGGAGGATCTCTGTGAGCTCGAGGCCAGCCTGGTCTACATAGTGAGTTCCATGCCAGCTGGGGCTACAGGAAGCCCCTGTCTCAAAAGACCAAAAAAAAAAAAGCCAGAAAGAAAGGGCAGAGGAGGTGGATGACCATAAGGAAACAGTTTTCCAGACAGCTGGGCAGTTACTCATATGAACTCATAGCAATGGTGACAGCATGCACCGGTCCCATGTATGCTCAAGCCAGACAAATCCCAGCACTGACGTGGGAAAGTGGGTAAAAAACCCCAACCCAGCCTGAGGAACTATTGGCAACCGATTGGCTGCTGGGAGTGGGAAGAGTCAGTGTCCTTTAAGGGTTAGACTTGTGGTAGGCTGACCAGGCTCCAGTAGATGGACCCACACAGAAGGGCATTTGGGGACACAAGTTTGTCCCTGTTCATTTTTTTAAAACAAGTGTGCACCATTGCTTTTTAAAAAAATTTTTATTTAATTTTTCCATTTCTGTGGGGGTGTGTATGGTGTGCATGTGTATATATGCATGTTTTTTCATGGGTCACATGCACATGTATATGTGCATGCATGTGGAGATCCAAGGTTGATGTGGAGAATCATCCTCAATTGCTCTTCCACCTTATTCATTAAGGCTAGGTCTCTCAATCAAACCTAGAGTTCATTGATATGAATAGTCTTGCTAGCAAGCTTTCTCAGAAGATCCTGTCTCTGCTTTCTGAGGTTGGAATTACAGACTGGCTGCCACACCCACCTGGCATTTGTGTAGTATCTGGGAATCTGAACTCCTGTCCTCAAGTTTGTGTGGCAAGTGCTTTAAAAAAAAAATTTTTAAGGGGGCTTGAGAAATGGCTCAGTGGTTAAGAGCACTGGCTGCTCTTGCAGAGGACCTGGGTTCGGTTTCAAGCAGCTAACAACCATTGGTAACTTCAGATCCAGGGGATCTGACATACTCTTCTGGCTTCAGAGGGCATTGCACATGTGGTGGACGTCCTCTTCTGACCACCATGAGCACTGCATGCACATGGTACACTTACATACATGCAGGCAAAACACTCATACAATAAAATAAAAACATTTAAAATTTTTTTAAGATTTAATTTTCTTATGAGTGTTTGTCTGCATGCATGTATATGCACCATGTGCATGCCTAGTGCCCTCAGAGTCCAGAAGGTGTTGGATCCCCTGGAACTGGAGTTACAGAAGGCTAAGACCACCTTTTGGGTGCTGTGCTGGATACCAAAGTGCTCTTCACTGTTGAGCCGTCTCTCCAGTCCAAGTACTTTTAAAAATTATTTTATATTCATATTTACTATTGTATGTGTGTATGTGTGTGTGTGTGTGTGTGTGTGTGTGTGTGTGTGTGTGTGTGTGTAGAGATGCTACAGTGTGCATGTGGAGGTCAGAGGACAACTTACTGGAGTTGCTTCTCTCCTTCCACCATATGGGTTCTGGAAATGAAACTCAGGCTTGTCAGGTTGGATCCAAAGGGCCTTTACCTGCTGAACCATCTTGCTGGCCCTTGCCCCTGTCCTTGCATGGATGGGAAGGCTGTATAGTAATGGGGGCTGCCTGGCTGTGTCAGGGTTCTGAGTACTCCCCACCCTCAACCTCTGCTCAAGGAATACACACCTTCCATGAGGATTTCGATGACCTCATTCACATTGAAGCTCAGCTCATCCACATCTTGGCCTATGTATTGGTACAGTGCCCGGCACCTGGGGCCATGTATCCGTGGTTGGGGCTTGGGCCGGCCCACGCCAGGTACCGGTCTCTGCCCTATACTTCGCTTCCTTTGCATGCTGTAGGGAATGGGGTGCGGACACCATAGCAGTAGACAACCCTCCCTTACCCCCTGCCCACTTCCTGGGGCTGTCCCAATCCCTCACTTCCTCCCTCCCTCTTGCCTACCCTGCAACACCCTGGTCAGGCACATTGAGGAATTCTGTATTGTGCTCTGAGGGTGGCCGTGCCCGGGGACGTCTGCTGGCTCCCAGGGTTGAGGATGGAGGACCCCGGGGAGGCCTCTGGGAACTCCTTCCAGATGTGATTTCCAGGGGCAGGGGCCCCCCTCGGGAAGAGGGGGCCACCCCATTTCGATCCAGGCCTGTGGCAGAAGCAAAGATGGAGATGCTTTTAAGGGAAAAGCTGTGAGTGTTTGAGGACTTGGCTCTAAGCTCCTAGACTGAGGCACTCTCCACCCAGTATGGGGAGAACTAGGTGTGAGGAAGGGACCCTGGAGATGGGAGGCTCTGAGGGAGGCTTTACAAGGTGTTGCTGTGTCTGTAGAAGGGCTTTTGTGAGTGACTTTTTAATTAATTAATTAATTTGTTTGTTTGCTTGCTTGTTTATTCATTGGTATTTTTGAGATGGAGTCTCCTTGTAGCCCCAGCTGTCCTGGAACTCACTATGGAGACCAGGTTGGCCTCGAACTCATAGAGATCTGTCTGCCTCTGCCTCCCAAGTGCTTTTTTAAGTCACTTATTATTGTTGCTGTGGTGTGTGTATGAAGTGTGTGGTTTGCATGACTAGCACACATAGAGGCGAGAAGACAACTTTGTGAGTCAGTTCTCTCCTTCCACCTTTACATGGGTTCCAAGGATCGAATTCAGGTCTCAGTCTTTACCTACTAAAGATTATTATTACTATTTTTTTTTAAGACAGGATCTCACGTAGCCCAGCTTACCCCAAACTCCGTCTGTAGTTGAGGATGATCTTGAACTTCTTTTTTTGGGCGGGGGCTCTTTTTGAGACAGGGTCTCCCTGTAGCCTGTAGCCCCAGCTGACCTGGAACTCGCTATGTAGTCCAGGCTGGCCTCGAACGCACAGAGCTCCGCCTGCCTCTGCCTCCCAAGTGCTGGGATTAAAGGTGTGTGCTACCACACCTGGCCCTGAACTTCTTTTTTAAACTTACTTGTTTAGGGCTGGAGAGACAGCTCAGTGGTTGAGAGCACTGGCTGCTCTTGCAGAGGACCTGGGTTCTGTTCCCAGCACCCACATGGTGGCTCACAGTTCACAGCTGTCTGTAACTCCAGTTCCAGGGAACCCAGCACCCTCTTCTGCATGCACTTGGTGCATTTACACACATGCAGGCAAACACTCATACAAAAAATAAAACTAAGTAAATAAAACTTTTAAAAATAATACATTTATTTATTTTTATTTAGTGTGTATGAGTATTTTGCCTGCATATACGTAATTGCACCCATATCCTGCAATGCCTGCAGAGGTCAGAAGAGGGCATGAGATACCCTGAAACTGGGAATACAGACAGTTGTGGTTGTGAGTCACCATGTGGGAACTGAACCCAAAACCTCTGGAAGACTAACTAGTGCTTTTAACCTCTGAACCATCTCTTCAACCCCAATGTTGAACTCCAGATTCTCTTCTAAGCCTCCACCTCCTGACTGTTGGGATTACAGGTGTGCACCACTGCACTTGGTTTTATGTGGTACTAGGGATGGAAGTCAGGGCTTTCTGCATGTTAAGCAAGCTCTCTACCAACTGAGCTACATCCCCAACCTCTGTAGGTGGATCTTGGAGGATATAAGTAGTTGGCAGGAAGTATGGGAATTTGGAAGGCAAGCCCAAGCAAAGGGCTGGTGGTAAGAATAAACTTGATGAGTTGACAAAATATGTAGTTTGTAGGATAGGGCTCTGGGAAGAGGTGAGAGAGAAGTCAGTGGCTAGCTGGGATGGACTTTATTTGTTTGTTTGTTTGTTTGTTTATTTAGGTTTCTTGTGGACAGGGTCTCCCTGTAGCCTCAGCTGGCCTGGAACTCGCTATGTAGACCAGGCTGGCCACGATCTCACAGAGATCTCTGTGCCTCTGCTGCGATTAAAGGGGTGCACCACTATGCCTGGCCCGTTGGGATTTTAAAGAGCTTGGTATACCCAATTATGCTTATCCTGTATCTTGTAGGAGATGGGGAGTTATGGGGAATTCTAGACAAGAGTGAGCCAATGTTCTTGTTAGAGTCTGTTGGCAGGAGGTATGGCTTAGGGCCTGGAGACCACAAGACGCAAAGAAAGTCATGCTCACCTCTGGGGGGCCCCGGTGCTGCTCGAGTTGGGGCTTGTGCTGACCTTCGAGGCCTTCCTTGAGCCATTCCCTTCCGTGTAGGCTCTGAAAGGCGAATGAAGGTAAGGGGAGCTTTGAGCAGAGGCCAGGCTAGACTAGGTCTTTGCCCACCCCCTTCCCCAAGTCCCCTCCACTCTGGTTCCGCTCCAGATCATGCCCCCTCAGGCTCAGGGGTTCTCCCACGTTAGTTGTGGGAACTGACTACACCCGTTTTGGTCCCACCCCTCACTGTCCCTGTACACCCCTATGGTCCTTGCATCTCAAACTGGCCTCAATGGCCCCGACCCCTGAAGCTTTGATTGGCCTCCATCGGCCACGCCTTCCGCAGGCCACGCCCCCTTCAGTCCTGGCCCGGCCGTGGACTTACTGGAGCTCTTGGGCAGCCCATCCCCGATGCTGACCGCGAGCGCTCGGCCACCAGCCTTGAGCACGACCACCTCGCCGGACCCACGGGAGAAGGTGACGCTACGGGTGCTGCCTCCGCCCCAGCCTTCCTTCTTCACCCGGAACTGTAGTCTGGAGAAGAGACAGATTGAGACGCCAGCCGGGTCCCTCTTCTCCACGCCCCTCTCCCCTGGTCCGGCAAAGGCTCAGGTCGTCGGGGTTGTTGGGGTGGAAGGAAAGGCGGCTGCGCCTAGGTCGGGTGGAGAATGACGCTTGTGAGGGCGGTGGATGCGGGGGCATACGTGTCGCTGAAGGTGAGGGGCAGGGGCTTCCGAGCTGCCTCTTTGAAGCGCTTGCACAGAAGGCTGATGAACTCGGTCTTGAAGACACTCTCTAGGAAGCTGTCCGCGGCATCTTCTTGGAGAATGAAGAAATCATCCTGCCGGGTGCTGGGGAAAAGGCAGGAGAGCCCCGATTGAAGGTGCAGGAAGATCCGATTTGTAGGGCCCCAGTGGTGAGGGTCAGATTAGGAGAGGGGAAGGAGGATCCGGGAAAGGCAGTAGTTGGGAAGGTCCAGGTGACATGTAGCAAGAGGGACGGAGCCCTGCATGGTGTCCCATGAATTTAATCCCAGCACTTGGGAGGCAGAGGCAGGTGGATCTCTGTGAGTTCAAGGCCAGCCTGGTCTACATAGTGAGTTCTAGACTAGCTGGGGCTACAGGGGAGACACAAAACAAAACAAAAACAAAAAACGAGGGCAACAGAAACTGATGACACATAAAAATCATGAAAGTAAGGTGACATGGGTCAGTGGGGAGAGGTGCCTGCCACCAAGTCTGATGACCTTAGTTCAATCTCCAGGGCCCACATGGTGGAAGGTGAGAACTGACTCTCCAGATTTGTCCTTTGACCTCCAGTCATGCAAGTAAGGGCGACTATGGGGCTCATGGGGGCTGGGCCTCACCTGAGGGACACTCCTCGAAGGGCCTGGATCTCCAGTTTCTTCTTCAGGACTTCCCGCACCTGGCCCTTCTCTGGTCCCTTCTTCACCTTCTCTCTCCCAATCACATATATACACTTAGGAGTAAGGATCAAGTCCCGTTTGATGGGCTGTGGGGATAGCAACGCCAGAAGCTGGTGGTTGGAGCACAAGGCATGGACAGCCATCCCCACACCCCCAGAATCCACCCTAGGCGCAAGGGTGGGGCTTTCCAGTCTGGAGACTGGGAGATCCCTCCAGGTGAAGGTGTGTAAGGTGTTAAGTTACAGAAATAGGGATGTCTGGGCCAGTCAACAGGTAAAGGATGCAGGAAGTGCCTGATGGATTTGGGTGCCCCGGCTCAGGACCAGATGTTACTGTTTGAGTCATGCCACTGTAGCCAGTTCTTCATTTAAAATTTTTTTTGGATTTACTTATTTTTATGTGTATGAGTGTCTTGCCTGCATGTATAAGTGCACCACATGCATGCAATGCCTGTGGAAACCAGAAGAGGGCATTGGATTCCCTGGAACTGGAGTTATGGATGGTTGTTAGCCACCACGTGGGTGATGAGAACCCAACCTAGATCCTCTGTAAGAGTAGCCAGTGCTCTTAATCACTTAACCATCTCTCCAGCCCTCCCCCTTTTAAATTACAATTATTCATTTATTTATAACTCTCTTTTTATTCATTTATTTGTATTTTGGTCTTTTTGAGACACGGTCTCCCTGTAGCCCCAGCTGGCCTGGAACTCACTATGTAGACCAGGCTGGCCTTGAATTCACTGAGATCTGCCTGCCTCTGCCTCCCAAGTGCTGGGATTAAAGGGATGGACCACCACGCCCGGCTAGTATAACTCTCTTTTTTAAAGATTATTTCTCTGTGTTCCTCTATTCAATCTTGGCTGGCACAGTTAGACAGACAGAAAGCATGAGGAAACTTTCTTCTTGCATCTGTAATGGAAACCTTAGAAGCAGACAGCAACTGCCTTGGGTCTGCCAAATAAATGCATTAAAGTTTTGTTTTTATTTTATGTGTATGAGTGTTTTGCCTGCATGTGTGTTGTGCAATGCCCATGGAGACCAGAAGAGGGGCATCAGATTCCCTGGAACTGGAGTTACGGATGGTTGTTAGGAGCTATATGGGTGATGGGAACTGAACCTTGGTCTTCTGGAAGAGCAGCCAGTGCTCTTAAATACTGAGTCATCTCTCCAGTCCCTACTTATTTCTGAGAGAGAGAGAGAGAGAGAGAGAGAGAGAGAGAGAGAGAGAGAATGCTACCCTCTGGGCATGATAGCTGTTGCACTCTCAGCAGCTACAATAACCCTCAAGAGACCTGCACAAGAGGTCTAGAGAGATGGCTCAGTGGTTAAGAGCACTGGCTGCTCTTGTAGAGGAACTGAGTTTGGTTTCCAGCACCCACATAGCGGATGACAATCATCCATAACTCCATTTCCAAAGGATCCGAGGCCCTCTTCTAACCTCCAAGGGCATTGCACAACATGGGTTCACTTACATACACACAGGTAAAAAACATACACATTAAAAATAAATACTTGAAAAAGAGGCCTTCAGCTGGGTGTGGTGACCCATGCCTTTAATCCCAGCACTTGGGAAACAGAGGCAGGTAGATCTCTCTGAGTTCAAGGACAGCCTGGTCTACATAGTGAGTTCCAGGCCAGCTGGGGCTACAGGGAGACCCTGTCTCAAAAACATCAAAAAAAAAAAAAGGCCTTCACAAGAAAGATTGGGCCCAAACCCCAATCAGTTTGTCCCATGAGAGAAGGGCTCATGAGGCCATGCCCTTACTGAAGATTTGTAGACAGTTTAATAGTTGCTGAGGGAGGGACTCGAGTGACCCCAACACTCCCTGAAAACATATAAGCAGTTCTAGTTCTTGGAGGAGAATGAGGGACATTTTTTTCAGTCTTGTAGCTGCTCAAACGTTGGGCATGCACTTGCAAATGATCACTGGCTCATGTGCCTATAAATAACCCTATTCAACTCATTGGGTTGCCCAGGTAGACATTAATGGATTTCTTTCTTTGGTCTGTCATTGGTGCCCCTGTCTGGGATGAATTAATAATGCTTGTTAGTCTCCATAGGAAAAGTTCACACAACTAAATTGTGTGTGCATGTGTGTGTGTGTGTGTGTGTGTGTGTGTGTGTGTGCTGGAGAATCTAGATTTTGTATGCTAAACATACATTATGTCACTAAGCCACACATCCCCAGCTCCACTTCCCAACTAACAGAAAGGTGTGATCAGGTGAGAGGGTATACAAGTCAGGGAGTCAGATTAGAGTGTATGGATTATACAGACTGGTTGTGGTGGCACATATTGTATTTCCAGAACTCAGGAGGCTGAGGCCAGGGGATTTCAAATTCTACAAATTCTAGGTCAGCCTGGACTCAAAAAAAAAAAAAAGAAAGAAAAAGAAAGAAAGAAAGAAAGGAAAAGAGAAAGAAAGAAAGAAAAAGAAAGGAAAAGAAAACAAAAGTCATAATCATAAGTAAGAGATACGTGTGCATATAAATCACATGAGTCTATGAGTTTGTATAGGAAAGTAAGTGTGATGGTTGGTTACATTTTATTTTTAGTTTGTTTTTAGTGTGTGTGTGTGTGTGTGTGTGTGTGTGTGTGTGTGCACAAGCCCACATGTGTGCCACAGCATGCATGTGGAGGTCAGACAATCTGCAGGAGTTGGTTCTCTCCCTCTACCATGTATTTGGATTCCGGAGATCAAACTCATGTCATCAGGCTTGGGGGCAAGTGCCTTTACCCACTGAGCCATCTCATTGGCCCCTGATGGTTAGTTTTATTTATTTATTTATTTATTTATTTATTTATTTATTTATTTATTTATATTTCATTTCATTTCATTTTAGAGACAGGATTTCACTATGTAGACCAGGCTGGCCTTGAATTCACGGAGATTCACCTGCCTCTGCCTCCCAAGTGCTGGGACTAAAGGCACTAAAGGCATGTGCCACCGTGCCTGGCTGATGGTTAGTTTTAATTGTCAACTTGACACAATCTTGAATCTTCTGGAAGGGAGTCTCAATGAGGGAGTGTCTAGATTAGGTTAGCCAGTGGGTGTGTCTGTGGGAGAGTATCTTGATTTCATTAATTGCGGGAAGACTATTTCAAGGGCTGGGCCTTGGACTGAGTGCAAAGGAGAGCCTGCTGAGCACTAGCATGCACACATTAATGCACTGCTGTCTGCTCTTGGCTGTGGATGTGATATGCTTCAGGTTCTGCCTTGACTTCTCCACAGTGATGGGCAGTAGTCTGGAATTGTGAGCCAAAACAAACCCTTTTTCCTTAGAGTTCTTTTTGTCAAAGTATTTTGTCACAGCAGTGAAACTAAGACAGCAGATAAGGATGTGTCTGGTGTAAGAATGTCATCTGGGTCCAGAGATGGTGGTGGTGTATGTGGCCATGGACTGTGTTCCACATAGATCTGTCATAAACAAGTGGTTAGGTGAAGATACCCCAGTGTGATGGGTAATCTTGATTGTTACCTTGACAAGATCTAGAATCACCATGAAGCAAATTTTGGGTGTGCTTATAAGGGGTTTTCTAGACTAGGTTAATTGAGGTAGGAAGACCCACTCTAAATGTTGACAGTGCCATTCCATGGACTGGGGTTCCAGACTAAATAAAAAGGAGAAAGGGAACTGACCAGCAGCTTTCTCTCTACTTTCTTTTTACTTATTTTTAGTTTATATGTATGAGTGTTTTGTGAGCGTGTGTTTAAGTGCACCTGTTCGTGGAATGCCCATGGAGGCCATAAGAGGTCATCAGGTCCCCAGGACTGGAATTATGGACAGTTGTTACTTGCCACGTAGGTGCTGGGAACCAAACCTGGGTTCTCTGCAAGAGTAGCTGCTGTTTTTTTTTTTGTTTTGTTTTTGAGGCAGGGGCTCCCTGAAGCCCCAGCTGGCTGGCCTTGAGCTCACAGAGATCCACCTGCCTCTGCCTTCTGAGAGCTGGGATTAACAGTATGCACCACCAGGCTCTGCTAGGAGATAGTGCTCTTAATTGCCAAGCCACCTCTCCAGCCCCTCTCTGTGGGCTCAGGAAGCCCCTTCTTGACAGTAAATGCAGTGTGTGACCAGCTGCCTCAAGCTCCTGACGCCATGTCTTCCCCACCATGATGGACTGTATCCACTTGCACTGTGAGCCAAAATAAACCTTTCCTCCCTGAAGCTGATTAAAACAGTTATTTATTTATTCATATTTTATGTGTATGAGTGGTTTGCCTACATGTGTGTACATGACCACATGTGTGCAATGCCTGTGGAGGCCAGAAAAGAGCATCAGATCTCATGGAACTGGGATTACAAATGGTTGTTAGCCTCTGTGTGGGTGCTGAGAACTGAACCCAGGTCCTCTGCAAGAGCAGCTAGTGCTCTTAACCCATGAGCTCTCTCTCCAGCTCCCTTGATTTTTGTCAGGTGTTTTGTCATAACAGTGAGACAAGTAACTAATATACCCAGTGTGGTAAAAATGTCTGGAATGTCAAGTTGTATGGATCAGGTGTATCTGCCATAAAAACTTGTTCAAGTCAGGTGGGGTGTCCAGGCAATGTGAGAACGTCCACCTAGATAAATGTACACAGGACATCTCAGGGTGTTCCAGCCAAGTAGAGTTCTCTGAGGTGGGGACAGGGAATTGTCTGACAGCTCCCTGTGGACAGGAGTATCTGGATCAAGCTGAGAGTACACCTCTGGTCAGGGGTTTGTGGGCCAGTCAGGCTTGTACCTGTGAACATGGCTGTTTTGGGCTGGTGAGAATACATCTGTGGACAGGTACATTATAGCTAGATGTCAGTTCATCCAGTGAACTGATGTGCCCAAGCCAGGTGAGGGAACTGGTCCTGTGGTGTGGGTTTCTGGGCAAAGTGAATGTGTCATAGTAGACAGGTGTGTCTGGCCAGGTGAGGGTGTATCTGATGGACAGGTGTGTCTGGACTACATAAAGACACGCTTTTTTCTCTCCCTCCCTCCCTCCCTTCCTTCTTTAATTTGTCAGGGTTCATGTAGCCCAAGCTGTCCTAGAACTCACTACAAAGCTGAGGGTGACCTTGAACTCCTGCTCCTGCCTCTACCTCTCAAGTCCTTAGATTGTAGGCAAGTGCCACTACACCTGGTTTATGCAGTGTTGGGCATGCAACCCGGGGTACATGCTAAGCAAGCATGCTACCAACTGAGTGACAGCTGCAGCCTGATGAGGGCATGCTTGATGGACAGCAGTATCTACCACATCAGAATATATACTTGTAGATAGGTGTGTCTGGGCCAGGTGGAGGTGTGCTGATGAGGAGAGATGTATAAAGGCTCGGTGAATATACAGAAGCGTCTGAGTCCCAAGGCAGCTGTCCTTCTGGTCTGGGTGCTAAGCAGAGACAGCCTCAGATGTGAACACCTGCCCTTCCCTCACCTTAAAGCGACGGTCGTACTTCGTGACTGAGTCAGCAAAGTCCACACGCTCCCTCTTGGCCAGGAACTGCCGCAGCTCGGGCCGCTCCTCCAGTCCCAGGTAGTCCCCGACAAAGTTCCGGTTGATGCTGTTCCGCCTGCGTTCCTTCTTGTTAAGCAGAATGTTGGAGGCTGTTGAGAACACGGGTGCGGGTGAAGGCTATGGCCTCGCTCTTTAATCTGCCCCCTAGAGCATCCCACTAGACGCCCCTCACCTTCTTCACGCATCTCCTCATACTTCCGGACTGCCACGTGGCGGCGCCAGGCTTTCTGGATGGTGCGGGCAAAGCCATCGAACTTCCGCTCTCGCATCTCCTCCAGGAGGAAAAGCTGGGCAAGAGGGCGGGGCGGTGGGTCCTGGCGTCTCCCCAGGCTCTGATTTCCCCAGAATCTATCCACACCTCTCTCTCTCTCTCTCTCTCTCTCTCTCTCTCTCTCTCTCTCTCTCTCCCTCTCTCTCTCTCTCTTCAAAATGTGTGTGAGGGGGGTTGTGTGTGTGTCTTTCTATCTGTCTGTATGTTCATGTGTGCAGGTATGTGTGTCTATAAGTCTGTCTGTGTTCATATGTGTGTGTTCATATGTGTGCAGGTGCATATGTGAA